GAGAGACAGAGAGAGACAGAGCATGTGCAGGGGAGGGGCAGAGAGAGAGGGAGACATAGAAGCTGAAGCATGCTCCAGGCTCTGAGCTGTCAGCACAGAGCCCGATGTGAGGTTCGAACTCACAGACTGCAAGATCATGACCTGAGCAGAAGTTGGATGCTTAACCAATTGAGCCACCCAGTTGCCCCTGTTCATATCTCTTTATTGAAACTGCCAAGTTTCTGTTAAGTAGGGACAGTTTCTCCATTATCTTTGTAATCATTAGACAACTCAGGAACCAAATAACCATCTGTTTCATTGAATTAGAGTTGTGATATTATTCCAAAGTCACAAATAATTTCAGGTACAGAATTTTGTTCTGTGCTTATGCCATGGTAATATGTAAAGTTAAATAGCTACCATTTATGAACTAATACTTGTCAGGTAGTATCTTGTGCATGTTAATGCATTCCTTCCATTTATTTTTATTTTTTAAATGTTTATTTATTTATAATGAAGGAGAGAGAGCAAGAGGGGGAGGGGCAGAGAGAGAGGAAGAGAAAAATCCCAATCAGGCTCTATGCTCAGCACAGAGCCCAACACAGGGTCATCTCATGAACCATGAGATCATGACCTGGGCCGAAATCAAGAGTCAGACGCTTAACTAACTGAGCCACCTAGGGACACCCTTCCGTTTTTTAAAATAAACTTTTTAATTAGGTAGTGTCCTCGGTGCACCTGGCTGGCTCAGTTGGTAGGGCATGTGACTCTTAATCTCAGGGTTGTGAGTTCAAGCCCCATGTTGGGTGTGGAGACTTTTTAATTAAAAATAAATAAATAAGTTAATTAATTAACTAAATAAAAATTAAAAAAAATAGTATCCTCATTTTACAATGAAGAAATGAAGGTTTAAAGGGGAATAAAAATTCCAAAATCATATGGTTCATTAATGGCATAACTGGAGTTTGAATCCAGATCTGTTTAATTCCAGTGCCTATATTTTTCTCAGTGTACAAATACTTGGTTATATTCTGGTTTATCATTCTAGATGTAAAACAATCATTTACTGAATAATTCAATAAACATTTATAAATTGATATTAAAAAAAAAAACACCTAGAACCAAAGGTCTCCAGATTGAGAGACAACAAAGTTGAAGGCAAGAGGGATTAAGTAAAAATGTATTAAATGTTATGATATACGCTTCTAGCATTTCCCCCTACTTGGCAGCTTTCCTTATATTCTCAAGATGGGTATAATATGGTGAATATGGTGAACCTGAGAGAAAGTAACCATAAGAGATACTGACTCAGGGCCCACCCAAATAGCCCAGCCAGATAATTGCCAGTTTGCAACCAGCTTTTTAGAGACCACTCTGAAGTATGAGCAGCTACTAAACACTGTAAGACACCTGATGAGACCCTCTAACTGTGCAGATGTAGATAAACAGAAAAAAACAACTTGAATGAAATGGAGATAATATTGGAAGATGAGAACTTATAAAAAAATCATTAACTATATCCCTAAAAAGATAAGATAATATTGCAGCCATATCAGGAAGCTATAAACAGGAAAACATTCAGAGAACTAGAACAACTCTTAGAAATAAAAACATGATAGGAAAATATGAAAAACTCAGTAGAAGGGTTGATAATGTTGAAATATTTCAGAAACTAGAGCAAATACAGAAAAAGATGGAAGAGGATTAAAAAAAAAAAAAAAAAGAGGATCCGTCCAGGACACCCTCTATTCAAATAATAGGATTTCCAGAAAGATCATAGAAATAAAGGAGGAGAATAAAGGAGGAGAAATCAAGAAAGAAATAAAGAAAATCAGAACTGAAGGATATGAGCCTCCAGATTAAAAGGACCCATCAACCTGTTTCCGATTCTGTGTCTCCCTCTCTCTGCCCCTCCCCCGTTCA